ACCAGGAGCTGATTCTTCAAAATGGTCAAAAAAAAAAAAAAAAGAGAAGTCACAAATAACTCGATTAAGGAATGATAGAGGTAAAATCACAACAGAACCAGAGGAAATGAAATATATAATATTGGAATATTATGGAAAGCTATACTCTGATAAATTTGAAAACCTAGAGGAAATAGACAAATTCCTTGAAATTCATGCCCTACCCAGACTGCCATGATTAGAAGGGGAACATATGAACAGACCCATCACAAAAGAAGAAACTGAGCAGGTCATATAAAAAGGCTCAGCCCCACAAAAAGTCCTGAAACAGATGGCTTCATGGCTGAATTCTACCAAAAATTCAGAGAAAATTTATCACCAATACTACTTAAGTTATTTCAAAAAACAGAAAAAGAAGGAACACTCCAGAGAATGAAGCAAGCATAACCCTAATACCAAAACCAAGCAAAGATATTACCAAAAAAGAAACCTGGAAACCAATATCTATCATGAACATAGATGCAAAAATCCTTAACAAAATCCTAGTCAATTGTATTCAAAAGCACTTCTAAAAAACAATTCATAATGACCAAGTGGGATTCCTAACAGGTATGCAAGGATGGCTCAACATAAGAAAAACAACATAATTAACCACAGTAACAAAGCAAATAACAAGAACTATATGATGTTAGCAATTGATGCAGAAAAGGTATTTGACAAAATCCAATACCCTTTCCTGATTAAGACACTCAGCAAACTTGGAATAGAAAGGGATTTCCTCAACATAGTGAAAAGTATATATGCAAAACCAAGAGCCAATATCATTCTCAATGGAGAAATACTAAAACCATTTTCCTTGCAAACAGGGACCAGACAAGCACGCTCACTGTCACCACTTCTATTCAATATTATATTGGAAGTACTTGCTGGAGCAATACAACAAGAGAAGGAAATAAAAGGCATCCAGATCTATGAACAGACAGTTCACCAAGGAAGACATTCAGATGGCCAACAAGCACATGAAGAAATGTTCAAAATCCCTAGCCCTGAGAGAGATGCAAATCAAGACAACCATGAGATATCATCTCACTCCAGTAAGACTAGCAAAATTTAACAGAACAGCAAGCAACAAATGCTGGTGAGGTTGTGGAGAGACTGGAACCCTTATTCACTGTTGGTGGGAGTGTACAATGGTGCAACCACTGTGGAAAGCATTATGGCGCTTTCTCAAAAAGTTGCAAATAAAGATACCATTTGACCCAGGAATTCCACTACTGGGAATATACCCTAAGGAGACCATAAATGACATCCAAGTAGATATATGTATACCCATGTTTATCGCAGCTTTGTTTACAATAGCAAGGAGTTGGAAACAACATAAATGCCCATCAACAAACGAATGGATAGAGAAGCTGTGGTATATTCGCACAATGGAATACTATGCTTCATTGAAAAACAAGTAACTCATGCAATATTATTCAAAATTGGTGACCCTGGAGGACATTATGCTGAGTGAGGTATCTCAGTCACAAAGGGACAAATGCTATATGGTGCCACTGTTGTAGAATGAGGCTGGCATTGGGGTGGGGGTAAGACTGAGAAAAACTGGATGAAATATGTTTATGGCATTGAAGTCTATGGGGGAGAGAAGAGTCTAAAAGTATTAATTTTAGGGCATTATTTTTATCGTAGGAGTACACAATGAGGGTTGCAGAGTGGATTATATTTGGGGGTAGGGCATGGGGTTTGGGGAGGTGCGGGGGGATTGTGTACCAATGAGGGAGTTTTTCTTTTGCTTTTCAAGGGGAGGAGCAAACGGGGGGGGGGGGGGGGGGGGAGTTTGTGCGGGGAGAATGGTGCAAAAATGAATGAATGGAATTCCAAAATCTCTGTAGATGTTCACTGAAATGAAAAATAAACAAACTAAATTAATAAAGAAAAAAAAAGGCATCCAGATCAGCAAAGAGATGGTTAAGCCATCACTATATGCAGATTTGTATGATAGTGTAAACAGAAAACCCTGAAGACTCAACAAAAAACCTGTTAGAGCTAGTAGATCAGTTTAGTAGAGTGGCAGGATATAGTATCAGTATCTAAAAAGCAGTGGGATTTCTCTACAGTAACAAAGAGAACTTAGAGAAGGAAACCAAGAAAACAATACTATCAATAATAGCCAACCATAAATTGAAATACTTCGTAGTGAACCTAACTAGAAACACACACACACACAAAAAACCCCTATACAAAGAAAATTACTGAACATTTTTGCGAGACACAATAAAGACCTAAAGAAATGGGAAAATGTGCCCTGTTCATGGATAGGAAAACTCAGTATTGTGAAAATGGCAATTATACCAAAAACACTCTACGTGTTCAATGCAGTCCCAATACAGATATCAAATTAACTTTCAAGGAGATCAAAAGAGAAGTTGTCAAGTTTATCTGGAGAGGAAAGAGACCACTACTAAGCAAAGCACTTCTGAAAAACAAAAATGAAGTGGGAAGCATAGCACTTCCTAACCTTAGAACTACACAGCAGTAGTAACCAAAACAGCATGGTACTGGTACAATGATAGGCACATAGACCAATGGAACAGAACTGAGAACCTAGAAATGGACCCATCTATCTATGGTGAACTGATATTCAACAAGGAAACAAAACCGATCAAATGGGGAAATGACAACCTTTAACAAATGGTGCTGGCAAAACTGGACAGCTACCTGCAGAAAGCTGAAACAGGGTCCACATCTCACACCATACACAAAGATCAACTCAAGGTGGATCAGCGAACGGGAAGTAAAGCCCCAAACCATAAAGTACATAGACTAGAAATACATACATACAGCTAGAAATACATAATCTGAAGAGGATAAAATTGCTGAATGGGACCTTCTAAAGATTAAATCTCTGTGCTTACCAAAAACTTTTCCCAACAGGGTGAAAAGAAAATCTACCCACTGGGAAGAGACATTTGGCAATAAATACCATCTCAGACAACAGTTCACAGAATACTCGTGGGCCTCCAGAAGAAAAGGAAAGATAATCTAATTATAAAATGGACACAGCACATGGAAAGACTTTTCTGATGGCCAATAGACACATTAAGAAGTGTTCAAAATCACTAGCAGTAAGAGAGATTAAACCAAAACCACAATTAGATACCATCTCACTCTAGTAGCAGTGGAAAAGTTTAACAGGGCAGCAAGTAATACATATTGGAGAGGATGTGGCAAAAATAGGAACTCTCATACATTGCTGGTAGGATTGTAAAATGGCTCAACCACTCTGGAAGGCAGTTTGGCACTTCCTTAAAAAGCTGAATATAGAAATTCCGTATGACCCAGTTATTCCACTGCTTGGAGTATATCCTGAGAGGACGAGAAATGAGGCATAAACAGGAACTTGTACACCAGTGTTCATAGTAGCATTATTCAACACAGCAAGAACATGTAAACAGCCCAAATGTCCAACTACAATGGGATGGATTGAGAGATTGTGGTACATTAAGACAATGGAATAACTCCACAGCTTGCAGGAACAATGATTTTGTAAATTACTACTTAATTTGGGAGGGACTAGAGAGCATTATGCTAAGTGAACTAACTCAGTCCCACAAAGACAAAAACGGTGTAAGATCATTATTGTAAAACATGTACAAGGATCCAAGGTGGGGAGGAGAGCAGAGGGGTGAGGACTTAATCATAGGTCACACAATCTGATGGGTAGAGGGAGGGGTGGGTTAAGAAAAAGGTAAAGATCTGGTGTGAAAAACAATGTATGCAAACTTTGTATGTAAACCAGTATAAAATGAAAATTTTATTACAAAAAAAAGGAACCTGACATAGGGTCTTTGAGTCTGAACTGACTTAATGGCAGTGGGTTTGTGTTGGTATGTTACAAATAGGATCCCATCATCAGGCACAGGACCTGATTCAAACAAATCACCATAGATAGGACACAGTGGCTACAGTCAATCAGCATTTACTGATTTCCAAATGTGCATTATCTGGATCATGAAATGTAGAACCTTTGCAAAAACATACATACTTAGACATATATCTATCCTCTTTCATACCAATTAGTTGTTAAGTACCATCAATTAAGAACTGACTCAGAGAAGCTGGTGGATTAGAACAGAATGCACTTGGGTTGAAAGTCTAACTCCTTACTATTAAGCCACAAGAGGTCTTTATACCACTAAAAGAAGGTAATGAAAATTCTGAGGTGGCAAACTTTCCTTGAAAAGCATGGGGAAAGGCTGTGTAAATAGTCAAGCAGGGCTCTTGGGCACGCTATTGATCTTGTGGGCACTTGGGGCTCTGCCCTGTCTCTTGGATCTGCCACTTTTGCTGGGAGGTGATGAGACAGAGGAGGAATTTGGAGACATTCTCATCTGGAGCAGTTCACCACGGCACTAAATACCCAGCATGCAGTTCTCACACCTGGTCCTGAGTGACCAACCCACAATAGGGAACTTCCTAGGTGTTTTGTAGGTGCCTTGGGCATTCTTAGCCACAAAAGAATTTTACTTAGAGCCTTATCATGATTTCAGGTAGAAAGGCTGCAGACTGAGAAGATTTTCTAGAATATTCTTGGAAGCCAGCTGAGTCATCAGTGACTCCTGCTCACAATGCTGTAAAATTCTGATGACTCAATTTACTGATAAAGCCCTCTCTAAGTGTAGTTATGGCTGCAATTTTAATATACAAAACTCCCAATATAGAAAGCATTGACCAAAGTCAATGTAGAGTCAGTCCCAGCACCGTTACCTGAGCGATATTTCAGAAGCAGGTCCCAGATTGACCGTCTCGAGTAGGGGTCCACCCCAGAGGTGGGCTCGTCCAGAACCACCACCTTGGAATCTCCCACAAAGGCAATGGCAACAGACAGCTTCCTCTGCATGCCACCTAGAGGTACCAGGAAGGGGGGATGTGTGTCACAGGGCTGTGGAGGATGGAGAAGAGATTGGGTACAGGGGACACTGCCAATCCAGCAGTGGCTTGTCACTGTCTCTGTCAACATTTATACAGCATTCAAAACCCTAGTAGTGTGCAGGTGTGGTAAATACACTAAAGACCATCCCTGACTCGTAGGATTAGATGTCTGTTGACTGTCCTCACTGTTTAGTTCAAGCACACAGACACCAGAGCAACAACAAGTTCAGGCTTCTGTGAGACAATGTTCTATGTGAGAAGGATCCCAAAGCTGTCTGCCCTCAGCATCCCAGAATAACTTTGCAGAAGTGTTCGGATTTTTGGAGCTTGCCCGTTGTAAACTCTTTTGCACCTGCACTCCTGAAGTCCACACACATCCCCATGCTGAGACTCCCTGGGAAATGATACTGTTTCTGGAATATCTGTAGCCCTGTATTTTCTCAATACCAAACACCTGATAGATCCTGTGCTTCTTCATTCCTCTTGTGGTGGAGGCCCGTGTCCTCTAGCATGGCTTCCATTTCCAGCTGGGACTCCTCCCAGGACTTGCCTTTCAGCTGGGCGTAGAATAGGATGTGCTCAGCCACTGTGAGGCTACGGGGCGGGACAACGAGAGAGGCCATGAGCTCACAAGTCCCCTTCTGGTGATGCTTCTCAAAATGAGAACAGAGGTGAAGCAATGAAGATACTCGGCATGGGGTTGTTTATAACACAAACGGAACAAAAAGAAAAATAGCCCTGCTTAAATATCTAGCAATAGGGAACTGCTTCAATAGTACTGTTAGGTAATGGAACAGGACATAAAGATTAAAAAGAATTTTATAATATAAACAGCATGAAAAGATGTTGTGATAGCTTATGTTTAAAAATCACTTGAAAAAAAGAAATTTCCAAATTGTATGGATAGTAGTAGTCTCTTTCATGATCTTACAAAAAAGAATAAACCCACAAAACCAGGTGATGTCAAGTTCAATTCTGCTTCATGGTGACCCATGTTCATCAGAGCAGAGTTATGCTCCATAGAGTTTTCATTGTCTGATTTTTCAGAAGTAGATTACCAGGTTTTTCATCCAAGGAGCGTGTAGGTGGACTTGAACTACCAACCTTGTAGTTAGCAGCTGAAAGCTAACCATTTGTGCCACAATTTGAAGAAAGATTCCATTTAAAGTATAAACACATATCTACATAGGAAAACATCCTAAACATTTATATCCCTTATACACTGAACTGTTAACAATGGTTTATCTGCGAGTGGTGAAATAAAAGATGACTTTTCTTCTTTTCAGTTCTCTTTCTCTTCTCTCCCTTTTCCCCTCCTTTTTTAGAAGGACTACATAACAGTTGTGGGGAAGTTTTTAGAGAAAAAGAGGTATTTTTAACTATGTATTACACTTTATAGTAAAAGCATCTTGAAAAGTCAGTCTGTAGTGTCATGGCTTGACAAGGAAAAGGAAATACTGATTTCTCTTTTGATTCCCTAAGAAATATTTCAGGGCTGAGCAAAGGGCCCAGGAATCAGCCCCGCTGTCAGAGAGGGGCGGCATCACTCTTCTGAGGGAGACCTCAATTCCAAGCACTAGAGACATAATCCTCTTCTTTGAGGAACATTTCTCTCTGCAGGCGGGACAAAAGAACTTTGAATACTGGAAAAGGCAAATAAAAGTACTGCCACCTGTCCCTAGACCTGGCACCCTGAGCCTGGCTCCAGAGTGCATGTGCACTGGGAATGAAGGAGGAATGGGGAGGAAATGAGTTCTGGTTTTACTTACTGATGGAACAGGATGTTGTGCTGGGGACACATGCCAAGGCTCTGCCGGATCACATCCAGGCTGGTTTCAATGTCCTTTCCCCCAATGAGCACAGTTCCTGATGTTGGTGGCAACAGCCCTGTCAGGATAGACCTGCCAAACAGGGGTCAGTGGACAGAGGAGACAGATGGTCTTTAGGAGCATGTCCGGAGAGGAGGTCCCTCATCAGAGCAGAGAGGGCTCCCACAGTGTTGCTTGTTTGTGACTCTGAACTGAACCCACACAGGCTGTGTGGGGACAGTTCCACACATAACATGTATCATGCTCAGTGTGCACATTCAGTCCCTGATACAGGTGACCACACTGTACTGCTTTACTTCTCTGTTTCTGCTTGTGTTGCAGTTCTTGCAGGCAGTTATGGAGGACCCAGGTAAACCCAGCCCCAGAACAGTCTTTCTTCTTATTCCTTATATAAACTCAAACCCACTGCTGGTGAGTCAGAACTGACTCAAAGCTGATCCTCCATCAGGTTTTTGGAGGCTATAAAGCACACAGGAGGAAACTGCCCATGTCTCTCCTGAAGAGGAGCTGTTGACAGCACAACTCCTCACCACTAGGCCACTAGAGCTCCTTCTTCCTTATATAGTATACAGATAAAACTCTAATAACCCTAATGTCATTTCACTGAGCTTGCAATCGATACACTAGAGTCAGAATACTCATTTGCAGTTAGTCTCTTCCAATTTGGCCTCATCACAATGCTTGGTAATGTAAGGGTCAATATAAGGTGTGAGGTACATTGAGTAAATGCTTTGCCTGCTGGAAAAATTAGGCCATGTTGATGTGTCCACACCCAGCAAGTGTTCTGAGTTCAGATACCATCTCAGGCTGCCAGGACTTGAATTTAGAAGCTGAAATCTGATCAACCACTAGAGGGAAACAGAACCAAATACAATGGACTCGCCCCACATTCCAGTTACACTGAACCACCCACAGAGAACATTCTAGCGCTGGGTGTACACTTCACTGTTCCTTCCTGGGGCTTTGTGAAAAGCCAGGGGACATGCAGACTAGGTACATAATACTGGGCTTACAGCCCTGTGAGGGATGTGCCTCTGTGGCTCCTCAGGAAACCTTGCAATGAGTTCTCCTCCTAGGCAGAAGGCAAGTCACACAGCAGCCCTGGGCCAGGAGGTCCACTCAGAGCCTTCAGGAGGTCCACACAGGGCCTTCCTGGTCCCTGAACTTGGTTTTCACTTGTCAGGCTGTTACCCCCTCCCCTCCTAGAAAGATCATCCTTGCTTTTTCTCCAGGACTATGGGACTCTTCCTAGGGACCCCATTCTTATGTAGAAGCCCACCAGAGAGCAGACAAATGAATGTTCTTTGAAAATAAGTAGTCCTGGCATGGTGCGAATGGTTAAATCCTCAACTCAACTGCTAGCTGAAAGATCAGTCCTTCAAACCTGCACAGAGACCAAGGCCTTGGAGGTAGGTCTGGCAAGCTGCTTCTGCAAACCACAGCCTGGAATCCTGGACGAGTTGTACTCTGCATACACATGATTGTAATGATTTACAACAGACTCAATGACAACCACTAACCCTGAGATGTAATGGCAACAGCAATAGCTTTATCACTACCCCATGACAGTGACACTGGGAGGAGGGATGGGGTGGCTCCTGGATATCAGAGATGAACACCTGTGGAAGAGAAGGAGGCCTGTAGGGGATGATCTGATTCTAGCGCCACTAAACCGCTGGGATTCAAAGGCATTCAACTCAGTGAAGCTCTGCCATGAATCTCAGTGAAAGTCATTTCAACTCAATGAATCTGCATTCTAAGGCACACAAAAGGGGCTATGGATTTCCTTCATCTTCTCAGACTTCTGGTAAACATCAAATGAAACAATACAAGGGAGTTAGCCTTGTGTTACAGGACACGCTATACAGTCCCAAGATCACAAATATAGGGCATAATATTGCCAGTAAAATTCCGTGGAAAATGGTAGACTGAAGCTGATAGGGAAAGAATAAAGTTAAGAAATGACAGGATAAAAAGGACATTCAACTTCCTTGCCTGAAGACTCACAAGGTGGTAGTTTTTCCTGCTCCATTGTGACCAAGGAATGCAGTGATCTGGTTCTCGTAGAAAGTAATGTTAAGACAGTCCACAGCCGGCCTACCAGAGGGCTCGAACATCTTTATCAGATTCTTCACACACACCCCAGGGACCAACCCGGGAAGCTCACGTTCAAAGAAGGAGGCTTAAAGGAAGAAAAGGAACAGGCTATAAATATAATGCCATAATGGACATGTTCCCCAAAGTTCTTCAGACTCTTCCCTTCCACCTGAAATTTCACCTGTTTGCATGGCTTTACAACCTTTGCAAGACAGCTGCCAAATCTGTAGAAAAATGAGAATACTCTTCTCTCTCATTGCTGTTGAGGTGGAACCAACTCAGCGATGACTCTCCATTGGGTTTCCAAGGTTGTAAATTGCACAGAAGGAGGCTGTCTGTCTTTCTCCCTCAGAGATACTAGTGGATTCGAACTGCCACAGAGGGTTGGTTTTCAGGTTAGCAGTGCAGCTCCCTATGGACTATTCCGCTATTGAGCACTTAATATGTCTGAGGCACACTCTACACGGACTACCTAATTCCATTCTTATAATAGCTCTGTGGATTGGAATTTATTGTTATTTCAATATATGAGGAAATCTGACACAGAGACATCAAGTATCCTTTCAAAGCTCATACAGCTCTTGAGTCACAGAGCTGGGATTTGATCCATGCTCATTCTAGGCCACTCTCTGCCCTAAGCTCTGCCCTGAGGCCTCTTGTATCTTACTGTGTGGACAGCATGTCCTCATGAACGTTTGGTAGCAGCTCAAGTTCCCTCCCTCCCTCCCTAAACAGCATTCTCCTTCTGACCCCCTCACATCCATTCCTGGAGCCCATTTTCCTAGGCACCTTTGCTAAAGAGGTATTTTTTTGCTCCTTACAACTCCAGAGTTTCTTTGGTTAACTGGCAGACAGTGCATGCTGCCTCATCACTGATCCTGATTCCCTCTACTTTTCTCCTCTGGCACACCCTCCTCCAGGGCAGTCTCACGTTGCCACACACACTGTTCCTGAGTTGGAATCAACACAAAGCTGAACTCCCAATGGGCTTCTGAAGGTCTATAAACTGCACAGGAGAAAAATGCCCATCTTTCTCCTCAGAGCCTCTGGGGGATTAGAACCACCAGAAAGGTGCCACTTGGGGTTAGCTGTACAATCCCCTAAGGACTACACTACCAGGGCTCCATTCTGGGCATGTAAAAAGCATCCCATTGCTCTTCTGTCCCCCTGGCTTATCCTGTGACTGAGGTGAGACTAGAACTGACACCCCTAAGTTTGGTATTGGAGTTCCACTCTAAAAGCAGGGCCTTTCCATGGCTCTGGTGACCACAAACCAGCCTTATGAGTTGCTGTGGGTCTTCAGCCTCAGTGGCAGGAAACAGCCCTGAGGTGGAGAAGGAATGGACAGAAACCATTCATGTAAAACCCAAAGACCATGCTGGCCTCCATAATCAGGGTGAGGATAGTAACAACATTTTCACTTCTGAGGACAAGTGCCCACCCTTAGAGAACAGGAACCTCTGGGGGAAGTCTAGGACCGATGTGAGAGGAAAGGTAAGAATGCCAAAGGCAGGAGAAAGAAACCCTTATGGACCAGGTCATCAGCTTGGGAAGGATTATGTGGCCCCTGATTTGTAAACTCCAGTGAAGGGCGGTCGGCTCCCCTCACGTTCACTTAGCCTGTGCGCTGAGTCGAGCCTCTGCATTTATTTTTGTCTTTCCTTATAGCTCATATCCGCTTTTAAGCCCGGTGACCCATGTTATTGTTCTGTCTAAATCCTCGGAAGTCAGCAAATTTGTGCAACTCGCTTGGGATTTACTTAAGAAGGGCACAGGCACACCACATACTTGGGGTCTGCTTTCTCCAGGAAATATGCGCTCATGTCTGGGTTGGGCCATTCATTCTGCGTATGAGCAGCTGGACCCT